CCCCAAAACCCCAAAACCCCAATAGACCGAAATGCCTACCTTCAATATCTAATTTGAATTTAATGATTTTGATTTAAGTATAAAATTTAATAATGGATAGCAAGCACAAATAAACACACTTATCTAGTAATCACCTAATAGATCTTAACAAGTTACTTTTAAAGTTAGGAAAAATGATTAGTTTATCGAAGATTAATTGAAACTATAAGATTCTTTGATTGAAGATAGTGATTTTAGAATAGCATCCAAAAGAAGATACTAAACAGACAGGAAGCGAGGATAAAGTATGAATTTTTATCAGAAAGCACAGTGTATTATTTCATTCGCTAGTAAATTAAATATTTAGCAAGAATATCAAAATTGAAGAACTATGGAATTTTACTGTAGAATAGAAATTAAGAGGCCTTTGAGTCTTTTTTAAACAGCTCAAATACCAAAGAAAAAGATCCTTTTAGATCAAGCCAAAAGAGATAACTAATTTCGTCATTTTTACTAGATCAATCTTCAAGAAATTTCTAATAATCTTAGCTAGAATTCATCTCATAGATAAAGAAGTAAGATATTTAAATCATCTATCTATATTAATGTAATTCTCAAATCCAATTTCAATAGTTCAATCGAGAATACGAATGAAGTTATTCATTTACCCAATAGATTAGACTACTCGCCCATTAAAAGTAATTTATCAGATATTTTATGAACTTCATATATAGGAGGTGAGCAAATTAATTTAAATAAAAGTTTAATTGGCTAGAATTTAGAATAGTATGATAAGCAAAACGCTTCTTCATCTTTTGTACCAATTTTGACGTAGGATACTAGATTTCAAAATGTAAGAAATAAGTCGAATGATAACTTAAGCAAACAATAAAAGCCCAAACACAACTTTTTCCCAGTAATATGTGGAGTTTCCTAAATTCCAATACCTAGAATAATTCAACAGAAAGAAAAAAAGAAATAATACTCTCCAAATAGAGACTTAAACCATACTACTGAGCTGTTAAAGTATAACATGATGATAAATTAGTATGTGTAGCATCATAATGATTTTTAAAGTTCGTTCTCACCCATAAAAAAGAAGAGCATTATTGCCTTTGGTAGAAAAGTGGGAGATCCTGTTAAGATTAATAAAAAACTACAAAGCTCCCAAGATAATTTCTTTAATATGACTTCACCAGATCCACTAATCAAGGAGGAAATGAGAGAGACTGGCAATAGTCTTAATAAGACAACAATTTTAAAATAAAAGTAGAAAATCACCAATTCTAAGAAAAACAAAAGACTACTTATGCAATCAAGTGAATCATAATATGATGCGGAGGATTTCTCAGGAAATATATCTCCAGTCAAATTGAAAAATTTGAGTTCATAAACCTACAAGATACCGTCTCCATTAAAGAGCCCAACGAAAAAATCTCATGGTAAAAGAGAGTCAGCTCTTTCTTAATCTTATGGAACACCAATGCTTAAGGAGGAAGAAGAAGAAAATAAAGATGATGATGAAACCGTTAAGAATGAAGAGAATGACGATGCTGAGACTATCCCATATTAACATTAATTAGATGAAGAAGATAGCGAAACTGTATTTAAAGAGTCTCTAGCATTAACTTAGAAAATGACTTATGAATTTTCAGAATCTATAAATCAACCTGTCATGATAACTGGTGACAAACTAACTAAAGTTTTTTATAAGTAAACCTGTATGATTATTAAAACAAACAAACTGAATCACATTTAAGCATACCCAGAAAACTAAACTCGATTAGTATATTATAAGGACTCTAGAATCCTTCATCATTCAATTCTTAAAGATTTTGAATAAGAACTTGGAATTGATCTGATAGTTAAGAGAGCTACTATGAATTAAGTTGTGATCGAATCCGACTAAACTCAGCCTTAATAGTTCTCAGATCCAAAGTAGATAGAGGGCTTCTTAAAACAGCATTCCAAGGCATATAGATCAGTATTCTCCATTTAACAGATAGGTAAAGGTGGAGAATCTGTAGTTTTCAGGCTTTAAACTTAGGAACTTGATGAAATCGTTGCCAAATGTCCTATTCTAAAAGTTTAGCCTAATTAATCCAAAGGAGAAAGCCTTAATTTCTTTCAATAAACTTTATATGAAAATCAGCTCCTTAAAATCAGACCCAATCCTGAGTTCACAGCAACTATCAAAGAAGAGGTTATAGAATTTAATAAAAGATTAGGTGTAATAATCCGTTATGTGGCTATAATAGAAAGAGCTTAAAATGATCTAGGTGTTATTTCAAAAACTTGGAAAAATCCAGAAGAAAGAATCAAGAGAAGGGAATTTTATTCACCTGAAAAATTAGCTTACTATTGTTTTTAATCAATGAAAGCAATAAATTACCTTCACTCAAGACATATCTACTATGGTGATGTAAAGCCAGAAAATTTTTTGATATTTAGAAATCAGCTAGTAAAGGTAGGAGATTTCGGAATTTCATTGAAGCTTAATCCAAAAAATGAAAATAATAAAGGATATCCATTTTTATACAAGACAAAAGGATATACGAAAAGCTTTTCTCTAAGCTATATACAGAAATTTGAATGTTTAATGACGAAGCCAGATTTATACAGAAATGACAGATATGGACTGTGGAAAGCTTTTAAAATGGTTTATGATCAAATGACTAATTATGATTCAAGTAGCAAATCACAATTAATAGAGGAAATGCTTGAGGATCTTGAGATCAACAATAAGTACTTCATCAATTTGAATTAGATAGTTTAGAAGTACATTAAATACTTCTCAACTAATAGTCAATTTGCATTAAGACTGTGCAATCAACTACTAAATGAAAATATGGATAGCTCTATAAGAGAAGTGTTGAAAATAACAAATTATTGTAACATTATTAAAGGTATACAATAGTATGCATAATATCAAAGAGAATCTTAAATTCTAAATCAAAGTCCTAGAAGAATTAGAAAGCCAATCTAAGAGGACAAAATCCTTGATAAAGGAGAACTTGTCAATTTCCTAAGGATAGATTAAGATAAGAATGGTGATTTTAAAGATTATGAAGAAGTTAATTAATCATCCAGTAAAAAGCTAATTGATACTTCTCACTCATATTTCTTGCATTTTCCTGAGAATGGTCATTGGAATTTCTAATAGGACAAAACTGAGCTTGATTATAATGATTAAATATGGAAAGACATTGTTCTTTTGCTATTGAAATCTTGTGATTAAAGACATGATTAGTGTTTAAAGTTTTAACTTAGAAAGAGATGTTAGTCTGCTTTTTAGTACAAGCAGATTTTGAAAGATATAAATTTTGACTAGATTAGTTATGCAGAAATATCAAGGATTGATTAGAATTACACAAACTAAGAACTTTTTCAGTTCTTTTAGTTTTTGAAATATACAAAGCCAGACCATAAATTATAGAGTCAGATAGAAAATTTATTTATAAGACTTAAGAAGTATGAGATATTGGCAGAGATTTATCATTCTTAGGCTAAAAGATGGTTTTTCTCCAAACATCTAGAGCTTTGTGAACAAAAATCAATTCAGTGTCTTAAATTGGCTAAGTAATTGAAAAAATATGATTTAGAATTTGATTGCTATCTTAAGTTAGCATACTGTGAGTCCTAAAAAGGAAATTTTTTTTAAGCATTTCAAATGATCAAGACATGCTCAAAAGTTATTAAACAGAATTTTAGTCATCATTCATTGTAATACTATGAAATGCTCAAGATCAAGTCTATCATCTTTCAATGTCAAGACAGATTAATTGAGGCCTTAAAATGTGAAGAGTAATGCTTTGATATCTGCAGCAATCTTCTAGGAGACCCAGCTGATGAAACACTCAAGTGCTGCTAGAGATTAGGAATGCTTCATCTTAAACTTTTGAATCATCAGGAATGCCTACATTATTTGGAAAAATACTGTCGTCTTTCCATTAACTAACTTGATCATTATATCTACCTATTTGAAGCGTATTGTAAATTCTTAGAATTTGAGAAGCTAAAAGAATTGATAGATATAGTAAAAGAAACTTATAACGATAATGATTTGATTTACCTTGCTTTTGCTGGATCTTATTTCAAACTCAATGAAATCTTTATTCCTGTATTAAATGAGGATGAAGAAAACTAAGTTCTAAATAAGCTGTTAAATTTGAATGATAGATGGTAATCGTCACTTCAAGTCATTAAGTACAGAATTCTAATGTTAGGGGGAATTTAGTACTGTATTGATTTTCTGCAAAGGTATAACAGAACGATTAATTTACTGGACAGTGAGGCTATTGAAAAGCTAAAAGATGAAAACCTGGATGATAGAAGAGTGAAGATGAAGTTAATGGAAAAGTTTTATTTAAGTTGGACTGCTTGTGTCCAAGAAGATTTAATATGATTAATTTCTATTTTATTTGTAATATTAAGATTCAATTAGAAAGAGCATGGAGGGGTTTTGGGGTTTTGGGG